AGATTTATTTATGCCTTCACTAACTACATGTACGTTTGTAGGTACATATGTATATATTTTTATTGTATTCAACCCCATTTAATATCCCACTGCTGGGCACGGGCCTTCCTTTCAATACGAGGAGATCACGCACTTGGCCAACGTGGAGGACTGCACGTTGGCCAAGTGCGGGTTGGCGGACTTCACATGTCTTTGAAAATTTGCTAGGATCTCTCAGACAGGCAGGTTTCGTCACGATGTTTTCCTTCACCGTAAAGCACGTGTTAATCATGTTACAATTGTACACACGAAAATATCAAAGGTGCGAGACTCGGGATTTGAACCCGCTTCACACGGTTTCCTAAGCGAACGAATTACCAGTGGGCTACCACTGCCGTATGTATATGGCAATATCTATACAGAGGACATAGAATAAAAAGATTATAAAACGTGAATTGTGAGACGTGAATAAAAGCTAAATAATTCTACTACTTTTGATATTTAAAAAAGTACAGATGGAAGCAGTTCACTATAATTATCATTCTTCTCAGTAAACAAAATTGCGTGAGATTATATTATAATAATTAATTCTAATAAAAATTAAAGCATGAGTTGTTCTTAAATGTTACAACAATCTAGATAGCCAGGCAATCACGCAAACTTAAACTTGTTTCGATTATACCTATTAGATTTTTCATGCAACTTCTCTTAATGTGTATTTAATTTTTATTTAAACTTCAAATAAGACAAAGGAGATACGCTTTTCATCCATTTTTCAGTAGCCTTTGATAAAAAAAGTTTATCACTTCATAAACATTTGTTTAGTGCTGACACATTTATTAGAACTTAGAAGGGCCACATGTATCTACCTTTTGGTTTTTTTTTAAAGTTAACTTTAATTTTTAACAGAAAATATATCGCTTTTTTATATCTTACAATATGGCTTTTTATTAATTAAATAAATATATTTAGACAAGATTACTCATTCAAAATGTATTTAAACCAATTCATATTATTTTAAAACCAGTAACAGACAGACAGACAGAAAAAAAATTAAATTGATTTTTTTATTGTAAGTACAGTATATAATTTCATATGCGTTTAGTACAAAAACTGTTAAATTGACATTACTCAATATTATTTATCTGTATAGGTGAATAAATTTAAAGTATTTTAGAATCATTAAATAATAATAAATAAATATAAATATGTTGGGACATTAACACACACACCATCTAGTTCCATGGTGAGCTACGAGGCCTGTGTTATGGATGCCAGATAGTTGATACACAACACATATATTTTTTAATACATACATATTATAAATATAAACACCCCTGACTGGAGTACAAACATTCGTGCTCATCACACAAATTAATGTCAGCAGCGGGACTCGAACCCGCGACCACTAGCACAGTGAGTAGGGTCACTACAAATTGAGCAAACATTGTACATTCTAACCTATGTAATTCTAACTATTACCAATATTTTCATCGTACTTTAATCGCCTATCAATATAAATACTACTTAATAACCGACCTATTTAAAACACACTTTAATAGCACAGTGACCTCTTTCAGTTCATGTTATATTTTATTGTAAAATAACCTCTATACCTACAGTAATAAGAACTTAGGTCTATGATGACTACCTGTTACTGAAAATGGGTATCCAACGACAGATTGTTAAGTGTGTTATTTCAAAGTCCGGCAATTCCGAATCAATATGTGTTGGGCGTGGTTCATGTGATGATGTGAGGCTAGATTTATGAACTAGATTTAAACACTAATCTAGACTCTAGACTGACAGGTTATGCATTAAGCTAGAAAGTAATTAAACTTTAATAAGAAATTAATGGTTGGAATCAATTTTCTGGCAGATTCACTCCCTTTGCATGTAAAGAATATAAAAATAATCTAAATACATACTTACGACACTTTTGACTCAGTTTGTAGTGACCCTACTTGCCGTACCAGCGGTCGCGAATTCGAGTCCCGCTGGGGGCATTGATTGTATCAAGTATCTAATACTCATAACACAAGCGTCTTAGCTTACCACGGAACTAAATGGTGCTGTTAATATCCCAACATATTTATTTATATCTACACTTAGGTACATTACATATCTAAAGAATGTACCACCAGTGGCATACATAGATAAAATAGTAGTCTTTCGGTTTCTCGTTAATTAATTTTATGTTAATTATTAATGCCAAGCCAAATGGCAAGTGATAACTTCATATCGTCATCAAATATTTGCCCTGAGCGAGAATCAAATCTACTATCCTTATATTGATTGTGCACAGTTCATTACTTGCTAGAATTGTTTTTAAAAAACTTATTAAGTTTAAAATATATAAGAATAAAATGCTAAGTCCGTAATAAATATATACATAGTTTTATTATCTAATACTGCATCCAATTTCATCTTTCATTGACAGCGGATATTGGCTCAAAATTAACAAGATCGTTGATCGTCTAAATTAGTTAATCTAGGTTTACAATTTACATTTTATTATGTACTAGCGTCACACCTTCTCTCCGTTCGCTTCGTTGGGTTATGTCGTTTTTAATATTTTGACAAAATTTATTGAACATTTTAACAAAAATTTAACTGAATGAGTTATGTTTCGAAAAAAAAACCTAAAGATTTATTTTTGATTGCGTCTGCGCGTACATTTGTGCACTATAATATCTTCTTATTGATTAGTTCTAGTGAGATTGGTTGCCATGTGTTTTTCAAATATTTTTAAGGTACAATATTGCTATATTTACCTTTTAGATAATAAAAATGTGTTTATTGAAAATACTAAAGCATGAGAGTTTATGAAGAGCTCGAAGCTTGTCACATTCACGTGAAATGTGTAGACTAAGCGCCGTGTAGTTTCTTACTAGCAAATACACGCCCGTGTACATTATAAATTTAATATAGGCGCGTAGTTTGCTTTGTTTCTTTATTTATTAGAGTTTTATATAAAGTGATATATGTAGCTTTATTTTTAAATTTTACTTAGATTCTACTTGCAAAGAATCAAGGTATTTGGCATAAAAATCTAATATTTAAGTCTTAATTGCTTTAAAATTTATCAAAAAACGGCCATCAGTTCTGTCATTATTGTAATATCATTTTTCATAATGAATAAAAGCAAAATATATATATATATATATATATATATATTATATTTTAATGAGCGACGAATTTATACGTTACATTTTCACGTGTTACCACGTGACTGCGTTACCTTGTATTCAATTACACAATAGAGTTGTCTGAAAGGCTAGGCTTTGTAGAAAGTTTGACAGGTTTTAGGTTTGATTGGACATTTGAATAATGTTGAATAACAATATTTGTACTCAAGAAAGTCAACGGATTTTACTAGTATTTACATACTATTGATTTTAAAATATTAATAAAAATAACATTATTGCTTACTAGCTACATAATCTGGCTATGCTCAGGTGCCTAAAAGTAGCCACAGTACAGCGCAAAAAGTGACAAACATACACACGTACACAAAAAAAAACTTTCACATTAATTGCAATAATACTCCAAAGTGAGTAATATACTGATAGTATTTTTTCTGTTCTATTGCATATAGTTTGTTGGTTATGCTTGTTAATTGTATAGAAAAGGTCAACTTTCTTAAGACAAGGATAAGAACTAAAAAATTTTGCGAACCCTAAGCATGGGTTATTTGCTTTTAGTCTAAGATATGAACAAAGATCTGTTTAGTATTTACCAAGTTGACTGCCTCGGTGGTGTAGTGGCTAGCGAGTACGGATGCACATCCAGAAGTCCTGAGTTCGAGTTCTTTTTTATAAGCCTCGGTAACATCCCGGAGTTAGTAAGTTGGCGGTGTTTCGCTATCGTGCCTCGAAGAGCACGTAAGGCCGTCGGTCCCACGTCTTAACTCTCACTGGTCGTGTCGAGCAGTCGTCCCACCGGAGTACGAGAGTGACAGGAATAGAGAGTGCACTTGTGTCTGCGCGTACACTTGTGCACTATAATATCTCTTGCGCAGATGGCGAGTCTCAATGAGATCGGCCGCCGTGGTCGGAATCGGTCGGGAGGACATTATTATTATTATTACCGTCTGCATTGATACAATTTTTAAAGTTCAAAGCCTGGCAAAAAAACTCAAAAATCATTTTTAATCGAAGGTAGCCGTGATCATATTTGGTTAAGTTCTTCATACATTATATGCTGTTACATAGTATTATGTTTATAAATACTTTTTATAAATTTGATGATTCACTTGTAAGTAACCAACAATAGTAAGCCAGGGATCAATGAACGTAGATTCAATTTGGCTAGGTAATTCCAGTTGGCTTTGTCACTGATAGAAGGAAAGAGCTAAGCAAATACGCATTGCATTATCAAAGGCTTTTATTTACTAGCTTCGGGCACATTTACTGAAGGTTTAGAATACAATATAGACTTTCTATTTTCCGTATTCTTAAGTAAGCCGGAAAAGGCCCTTTGCGAATTACTATTAACTAATCTGTACCCTTAGAGATTACGGCGATCGCATGTAAAGTCATGGAGCACAAACATAGTAGGCGAAGCTAGAGACATGGATATTTAGGATACTTGTGTTTACATTGTATTTTTAACCAACTTCCAAAAAGGAGGAGGTTATCAATTCGTTGGAATCTTTTTCCTTCTTTTTTTTTATGTATGTTCACCGATTACTCGAAGACGCCTGAACCGATTTGGATTTTTTTTTGTTTCATAGGGTATACTTCCCAGGTGGTCCCATATAAATTTTATTTTCGATACGTAAAATACATGTTTACCTATTAGATATTCATATCTTAAAATATTGTAGGCTGGCACCGACTTCGAAAATATCTGATTAGGTATCTATTATAAATGAAAACCTCCGTTTAGTTATTTTTTACATTTTAGTGCCTGGAAGTCGGTTTTTATTTTTTGTTAAAAAGTTCTTATTGTACTCTATTTTGTAATTTTGCTACTTTCTATAGATTTCTTATTGACAATATTACAATAATTTGTTACAGAACATTTATTCTGCTGACAATATTCTCACAATGTATGGGGGAAGTGAAGATACCGATGGTCACGTGGAAGCGAGACGCGGGACTCACTGTTATATGGTTTCCGCTTTTCAAGCTTTTCCCTGTAAGTTTAGTGAAGTTTCATATTTCATTTCATTTCTTAGTTCGAGAACTTTACAAAGGCTATTGTGCTTACAGAATCGTATTATCGGATAATTTTAATTGTTTGAAAAATATTTCTTTTAATTTTTCAACCGCTTTTAACTTGTTTTCACCCTTTTTAAATAATAATCTTTTCGGATTATTTCGCGGATTCATTTAGATTTTTGGTTCCCGATGTTACGAATGCTTTACAGCAATTTGTTTTCACGCGCCGCTCTGCTCAGTAGTGATTTTTACCAGGTATTACTGACCATAGCCATAATGTGGGTCATCTGCGGCATCCTGACGGCGACTGACGCACTGGCGCCGGGGCATCCGGCACGCACCGACCTCAAGATCAACATCATCCAGGACGCGCCCTGGTTCAGAGTGCCTTATCCTGGTATGATTTATATGATAGACTAGCATTTATCTACTACTCCTCTCGCGTTTATATTTTGTTACTGTTTTATACATGCGTCATGAATATCCAAGTCAGTGACTTCGGCAATTATTATCGACGACAAACATTTCAAGCTAGCTGCGTAGCATAATGAGTATCCAATTAAATATCTATTCTTGCTTCTAACATTTTGATGTAACTTTTTAATATATTATTGCATTTTTTCTGTTAACTTTATATTATGGAAGTAATAGCAATTTTCCAAGATCAGTTTGCGCTGTGAAATCACTTACTTGGCAACTAATTAGTAACAAATTCCGGCGTAGATATCGACTCGATTTAAAATATAATAAATATTTTACTATATATGAATATAGCAGTAAACACCAGTATAATTTTTTTTGTGGCTTCTATGATGGATATTAGTCTTCATATACAAAATGAAGTTCAATATACATAGGTCAATGGGGATGGCCGACGGTGAGCGTGGCGGGCGTGCTGGGGATGTTGGCGGGAGTGCTCGCGTGCACCGTCGAGTCTATCAGCTACTACCCAACCACGGCCCGGATGTGCGGTGAGTTCCCCGAAAAATACTCAACTATATACATCGTATAGGCTAAACGTCTAATAATTTCATCCGAACAGATTTCGGCCACAGCGGCTAAATGAGACTAGCTATGTGCATAGAATATGTTATAAAGCATACGAGTGCACTCTCTATTCCTTTCAGCCCAGCCCAATTGAGGCGCAGGATTGACGACTTTTCGTGGCTTTCCAAGGCACAGGGATGTAACACAATCAACTTCCCAACCGTAGTATTAACCTCCAAATCCTTTAGGAACGGAATTCAACAATATAAATAAAATAATGAATGTTACATACTCGTGAATAGTTTTATTACTTTGCTTAAACCAAAGAGGTTTAGCCAATTGTGAAAAATTTAGTTTTCTTATGCACTATTGTACGCGCAGTTGTTGTTACCGAGAATTTCTTAACAAAAAACGCAATGACTAAACTTAGCCCGACCCGGCACTCAACTTCTGAATCTGCACACGTACTTGTTAGACATTCTAAGCGAACACCAAGAAACGGTCACACATTCTATTATATTATTTTTGTACAGCGGCACCCCCTCCCCCCCTGCACGCGATCAACCGCGGGCTCGGCACGGAGGGACTCGGCACTATGCTGGCCGGCCTCTGGGGCTCCGGCAACGGCACCAACACCTTCGGGGAAAATGTCGGTGCAATTGGTGTCACTAAGGTAAAATTTTCATTTATTACTTTATTAGGGCATTCAACTATGTATTTCGAAGAACCCATTTTAATGTAAAGATATGTATTTTACCACATCTATCTCACATAAACCACAGTCATTTAAAATCTACCACAAAGTTTTGATACATCGGGGTACAAAGTATTTCTAACTTCACATACATATTATGGGTATACAAAACTGCTTGCCACTTTCTGAAGAGTGTTTATCTAAGTCACCTGAACACCGTCTCCAAGGATTAGATTTTAGCGTTTAAATATTATAATATTTTTCTACGTTTTGACCCCTTATTAACTATTGTTAGGTAGGTTCACGTCGCGTGGTGCAGTGGGCGGCGGGCCTGATGGTGGTGCAGGGCGTGGTAGGCAAGCTCTGCGCTGTCTTCATCATCATTCCGCAGCCCATTGTGGGCGGGCTCTTCTGCGTCATGTTTGGGATGATCGCCGCGTTTGGTTAGTTATTTAAAAATAGGTTAGAGGTGTTTTATTGTGTTTCTTATAGTCGAATGCGTACCATTTTTTAACATGATAACCACATACATGCCTACGGACTTTATAACTGTTTAAGATTTTATCGGTAGATACAATTTTGATGTTGGCGAAAAATATGGATGTCCGTTTAAGGAAGCATGTTTTCTTTATACCCATATAGGTCTGTCAGCCCTCCAGTACGTGAATTTGAACAGCTCGCGCAACCTCTACATCATCGGCTTCAGCCTGTTCTTCCCACTCGTGCTCACGCGCTGGATGGCGGCGCACGGCGGCGTCATACACACCGGCCTCGACGCGCTCGACGCCGTGCTGCAGGTGACTACAATATATTTCTTGATACAATATCTATTTTATACCACGTTACACAACACAATACAAAATATTCATTCAATGCAGTTGTAGTACAAACTCAAATAATTGCATCGAAACCGGTATCTTAACGCCGGCTGCGATACGATCTATACTTGATACTATACTATAACACGTATGACTGTTAAATACAACAATACACTAGAATATACTACATTAAATCTATACAAATTACAAATAAATAAAATAATTGAAGTGTCTGTTTGTAATGTCAAAATAACAGCTTTTTAGCTTTAGCTAGGGGTGATAAGACGAGGTGTTATGTCTATATGGTTAAATAAAACTTGTATATCTGAAATATATATATATATATATATATATATATATATATATATATATATATATATATATATATATATATTTCTTCAGGTATTGCTCTCGACGTCTATCCTCGTGGGGGGAGTGGTTGGCTGCTTGCTGGATAACTTGATACCTGGTGAGTTCGTAATCTTTTACATATTATATTTATCATTATTATATACAATCTCGAACATAAAACGATGAAGTGAAAGAATATTCAGATATCGTAGGCGCTTGATATATGTAACTTAATACAGCTAGCAAAATCATGTCTTAATAGTATATTCTCTCTGGTCAAAAGGCTAAAATAGGCTCTTGTAAACCCCCCATTTTATAGGGGTGAAGATATCTCTCGTTTAATCGATAAGGTATTTTTTTATTTATTTTATATATATTCAGCCCTTTTAAAGTCCCACTGCTGGGCACGGGCCTAACTTCAATTCGAGGAGGTCAGGCCATATTCCATCACGCTGGTTAAGTGCGGGTTGGCGAAGCTCAATGTCTTTTGAATTATTGCTAGGTTCTCTCAGATATGCAGGTTTCCTCGCGATGTTTTTCTTTACCATCAAAACAAGTGGTAATCATGTTGAAAAAGATTCGCAAATAAAAATATCAGAGGTGCGAGACCCGGAATTTGAACCCATTTCACTGTACTCAGTTTCCCAATCCAGCGCATTATCATTAGGCTTCCACTGCCCAAATTATGTTATAATTCAAAGACTTTAAATAATTTACAGAATCCCTCTAGTACTGTTTCAGACTCTTAATAATCAAAGACATTCGTCAACCGCTCAACATTTGCCGTGGCATCACTTTTCATAAGTAGTCGAATATTAATGTTATGAAAGTTCATCTCAGTCTCATTATGTGTAACGTTGCAATATGTCCACTTAGTAATTAATCATCGATTTAATATAAAGAATATTTTATAAACACCCATTATATTAATTCATCATCGACTCACTCACTCACTCTCTCTCTCTCTGCTCGGGTTCGTCCCTAGTAAAGTGTAACATTTAGTATACATTTTTCAGACATGAGATATTTTCCCGCAGTAAAAAGTATCCTATTTGTTGACCCGGATAACCACCATCATACCAAAACTATCTTCGTACCATCAAAATCTGTTTAGTGGTTTTCTCGTGATGCGTTCCCAGACAGGCAGACAGAGGCAAAAATTTTCAAAACTTTTATTTATTTATTTATTTATATACCATAAAATATATGTTATACAAAATAAAGTAACAAAATGTCGACAAAGGATAACTTATCTCTTTAAGAGATTTCTTCCAGAAACCCTTCAGAAGTAAGAAAATAAGTTAATTTAGTGCGGTGTAGGTGCAGTACAGCATTAAATGGAATTGTTGTAATATTAAAATATATTAACTAAATATTATAATTATACAAATATACTTATATATATACACATACACACAAACATATATACTTACGTACAGACTTATCTACTAAAATTTATATCTGATTTGATAAATAGTGCTGTTTAATTCTAAATTTAAAAATTTTCGGCCTCTGTATCGATGATAATGACTATTTCTATAAGATTTTCTAAAAAATATTTACCATACAGATTCGATTCAGTTAGAATTTTATTATATGTATAGATTAGCTATCTGTGGTATATATACAATTGGTAAAATTATAAATGTGTTTGTACGACACAGGAACGGACGAGGAGCGCGGGTTAGAGGCGTGGGCGAAGGAGATGTCGCTGGAGGCGGTCGGCGCCAGCGAGCAGGGCGACACCTACGACTTCCCCGTCGGCATGACGCTCATACGCAGGTATGTTCCTCCTCACTGGTATATATATGTTGGGACATTAATTAACACACAGCGCCATCTCGTTCCAAGGTAAGTTACGAGACTTGTGTTATGGATACCAGATAGTTGATACACAACACATATATTTATATTACTTTTAAATACATACATATTATAAATATAAACATCCATGACTGGAGTACAAACATTCGTGCTCATCAGTCAAATATATACCTCCAGCGGGACTCGAACCCGCGACCGCTGGCACAGCAAGTAGGGTCACTACAAACAAAGCAAAACGTGTCGTCAAATACGACAGGCACAGAAATAGACATATGTAAATGCACAGGCACAGACATAGACGTACATGCGCAGGCATAGACGTAGACACTGACACAGATATACAGAAGCAGACACATAAACACGCAGCAATAAGGAGCATGCTCTTATAATGTGGGCGAAAAAGAAATTATTTCGCCCTATATACATAATATGTACGTATTTACCGTATTATAAAAAAAATATAGCTGTAAAAGGATTGTACTATACTAGAAGTAGCATCATTTTCATGGGACAACCCTTGAAAAAAACATTCGCGGAAGATTTCAAAAGATTACTTTTTAGATTGTACTTAGTATAATAAATTCAAAAAATCCAAAGTCAGCCAAATCTATTTAGGTTCGTATCTGGTTTTCGAGGTATAAACGGTTATACTCACCGAATTTGTTTAAATTTTGCTATATTGAAGTGAAACTTCTTTAGAATCGTTGTGATTTGAAACTCGATGCAACGGAAATGCGACAGTAAAAAAAGACAAACATATAAATATATAGGATTAAGCCGGCGATAGAATGAGATAGAATACATTGCGATGATGCCATGGTAACCGTTGTCATGGTAACCGTTGTTATTTGATAGAATACATTACAAAGGAAGTGAAAAATAATAAAATTCATTACTGATTATTATGTAATGTTTATATTTATGTCAAATAAAATGTAAAATAACTTTTAAACTTGGTAAAAATAATATAAATAAAAAAATCCTTATGATTATCCTACTCCTGATACTCTATATTCATATCATTTTCTGAAGTTTCACTTCTAGGATGTGTGAATTGCACATTTTCTTTTTTTTTTAGGTATTTCAATGTATATTTTTTATAAAATTTAATTGTTTAGCAGTATTGAGGAGACCCTATCGTCTGATCGTTTATTGATGCAAAACCCTGTAGGATAATTATAGCCTGAATAAAGGACGTCTAATTTCTTTTAATGGGGGTGTAAATTATTATGTTATCTGTAATTTAACGTAAAATGTAACATTCCAATTTCCAGGTGGGAGTGGACCAAGTACCTGCCATTCATGCCGACCTATGAGATCGGCAAATTCACTGCTTTGTTCCGGAGGAAGAAGGAAACGTGAAACAAGTTTAGTTAATTTATTAACTGTTGACTTTTCCAACATCATTATAGCTTTCTATAGGTGTATAGGTATTAGCCAAATATTAGGACTTAATATTAATAAATTTATAATTTTATTGTAAACTAGCGACTCACCCTTGCTTCGCTCGGGCTCGTCCATAGCTTGATTCCCCATACAAACTTTTATCCCAATTTTTACCGCCTTCAGGGATGATTTCCGGGATAAAAAGTATCCTTGTCCTTCCCAGGATTTAATCTAATTGGTTCAGTAGATCCAGAGATTACCCCCTACAACGTCACAAACTCACAAAGTTTACCTCTTTATAATATTTTAGTATAAATAAACAAAAAATAACTTAAGAAATTGAATTCATTCAATTTTCTTGTTAATGGCTATTGGCTTCAAAACGTGCCAATTGAGCATAGATTTCTTCGCCAATGTCACGTAGAAGATCTCAAAAATTTACGTGCACGTTTCTTCTGTTATTTTATTTCAATCCCTCAAGGCCAGAAACGAGAATAGCCTTAGCCGTAGAGTATTAATTAAAAAAGGTTAATGTTATTAAGAAGTAAACTATTATGATTTACTAGCATTGCTCGCGGCTCCGCCCGCGCTCAAATGACCAAAAACCAAATTCTTAGGTTTTACATATTAGTATAGGTACTCTTATATTGCCGTTTTTGTATTTTTTCTCAGAAATGAGATATTTTCCCGCGGTAAAAAGTATCCTATATGTTGACCCGGATAACCAGCTATCACCATACCAAATTTCATCAAAATCCCTCCTGTGGTTTTTCTGTGATGCGGTAACAGACAGACAGACAAAAATTCTAAAAACTATAGATTCGGACTCTGTATCGATAATAATGTCTGTTTCAATAAGATTTTAAAAAAAAAATATTTAATGTACAGATTCGGCTTAGTTACGATTTTATTATACATATAGATTATAGACGAAACTATCACGTAACAGATGTATGTAGTTATGTACAACAATTAGTGAGAACCTCTAAGTTTTTAAGTTAAACAACGTGAAATAAAATGTTATATTGTAAGTGTTTTGTTTGTAATAAATTTATTATTAAAAAACATTTGTTTTATTTATTGTATACATTATTTAGATTTTTCAGTAGGTATGCAAGTTGATTATATAATTGAGATTATACAAAAATTCACTGAAATTCTATGAAATTATTTCTCTGAAATTCGCTTTGAGTTGTGAATGATTTATCATAAGAAAGCAGTTGGTCTGATATAAAGAGAATAGCGACTTTTTTCGTAGGGGTCTCTAATTTTTGAAAATATATTCCTTAGCTTTCTATAAGTAAAAGAATTGTTAAAATCAGTCTAGCAGTTTTTGTTTTGTTTGTCATAAACTTTAATTAAAACATTTGTTTTATTTATTAAATACATTATTATTTAACCTTTTGCATGTAACAGCTTTCATCTATACATATAATAAAATTCTGAGTCGAATCTGTACGTTAAATATGTTTGGAAAATCTTATTGAAATAGTCATTATTATCGATACAGAGGCCGAATCTATAGTTTTTAGATTTTTTGTCTGTCTGTTTGTATGTCTGGGGACGCATCACAAGAAAACCACTGAACAGATTTTGTTGAAATTTGGTATGATGATAGCTGGTTATCCGGGTTAATATATTGGACACTTTACTACGGGACAATATCTCATCTCTGAAAAACTTATACTAAACGTTAAAATGTAACTAGGTTACGTTATTTATGTATATATTCAAATATGACGCTAATTATGTATATTAAAAAAACCGATTCGTCGATCGATAAACGTATATATATATATATATATATATATATATATATATATACGTTATTTCTGGATATTCAAAGTCTAGACAGTAGTACAGTAGACGGTGTGTAGTTTATAGTGAAATCACTTTATGGGAAGTGGTCTGGTTTCTGGGTTAAGCGGTCCATTAAATAAAACGCTCCTACCGCACTATATATTCTTGTGACAGGCAAGTATTTGCGAATACAACTTGAATTCAGTTAAAATGACTTTCAAAGGAATTTTTTAAACTATTTAGTGCGAAATGTCTTTATGGTTCACATGAGTTTAAATTATAATACATATAGCAAATTCATAATACTTTTTTAAATTCACCAGGTATTCGACATTTTAAATAAATCTTTTCGGATCTTTCCGCGGATGAATATTGATTATTGGTTCCAGGCGACATTTTTTTAATATTAAATAATAATTTTACTTAGTGTTGCTCTTTTACTTATAAGCTTAAAAAAATTAAGCAAAATAATTGTTCTATGCATAAATTATACATATAACATAATATCGAATAACAAACCCAAAAACCTAACACGACGAATTAAGTACTCTTCTTTTTTTTGAAATCAGTCAAATAGGACGTTCCGATTTTGATTAGATTTTTTGGATATAAGTTATAACTGAAATATACTCAAATATACACAAATCATAAATATAGTTTCGAAGTCAGTGCCAGCCGACAATATTTAAAGATATGAATATCTAATAGGTAAATATATTTTACTTATCGAAATATATTAGATTTGCTTTGCATCGGCAGGCACCGACTTCGAAAATATCTGATTAGGTATCTATTCTAAATGAAAGCCCCCGTTTAGTTATCTTTTACATTTTAGTGCCTGGAAGTCGGGTTTTTTTTAGTTTTTATAAGAAAGATCTTAAAAGACGATACATTCAATAGTATAAGATCCTTCCGTGAAGGATATCTAAATAGCCCACCTGTTGGGTTACATAACTCAGGCTAAACTTATTCCGTTAGTTTTATTTTTAAGGCGATGCTTAAATATGTCGACTGATGAACTGTTTTAACTTCCTTGAAAGTGAGAGTTGTTTCATTCCAGAGTTTCGCAGTTTTCATTGGTACAGAAAATTGAAGTAAAAAACTATGGAGGTGCTGGGATTTGAACCCAGGACTTTCAGCATGCGAAGCAGACACTCTACCACTGAGTTACACCCCCCATATTTAACTTATCGAAATTGAAAGCCAATTTGTAGTGTGTAGCAATTTCAACTGAAAGTACTTTACAAGCTTTAAAGCTCAAAGCTTGTAAAGTACTTTCAGTTTAAATTCCTAACACTTAACACTCGCTACACACATTTAGTACTATCGTAAGAATACTTCATATCTTTTACTTATTCAAATATTACTTTTTTATAATATATCACACAGATTACTTAGTATACCTATTAATAATTTAAAATCACGACACATTTAAGCGTCATGCCATTAAAGTGTTTTTTTTTGCATAAAGTTCATACGTAATCTTCTTCAATTATGTAATATAATCGAATATTTGGCCCCTTTGTTGCCTTCTGCGTTTTACCATCTGAAACCAAGGGTGAATAAATATATATCAATTCTAGGGTTAATAACATGGTTGCAATCGACATTTGGGTGCAGATTGCCGATAGTGCAAGGCGGTACGATATCGTTCTTAGTGCTCACGCTAGCTATACTCGGCTTTCCCGCCTGGAAACGTCTGGGAAGAGATAACGACGTATTTGGAGCTATGATAGCAGAACAAAGACGTGAGGTGTGAACTAGTCGAATGTGTGAAATATCAGGAGCTATCATTGTGGCAATCGCTAGTATTTGATAAGAATATACGTAGATTAATATTACTATATGACCATACATATAGTAATATCATTATATTACGTACCCATTGGTACGTTTTAAATTTTTTGAGCGGAACCCTAATTCTTTTTCTCAAATAAAAGTAGCCTATGTTACTCCCTATAACATCAGCTATCTTCCAGTGAAAGCCCCGTCAAAATCAGTACAGCCGTTTCAGAGATTATTCGGAACAAACAGACAAAAATTAAAAGTGTTTTTCTTATAACTATATAATTTCATATGCATTTAGTAAAGTGCTGTTATTTTGACATTACAAACAGACACTTCAATTTTATATATGAAGACAATTCTTATCAAATACACGTACATATTTGTATATTTTTGGAACTGAAAATAACACTTCAAAAGACTGCCCAATTGTGTTATATAAAAGTCTGGTGATTACGAATCAGTAAGCAAAATTCAAATGAGATAGCCGTCGTGGTAGAAGAATTTTAAACCTATTCCTTACAATAATAAAGGTCGTAAGTTTAATCTGGGATGAGTATCTTAAATTTGTGGCAAAGCTTACTGTATTACGTCGTTTTTATGAATACTTTACATCTAATATAAAAAGGGACAACTTATATGAGCACTCGTGTTCCTGACCGTTTGCTATATTTTCTTGGGATTTTTTAGAAGGCAAAAAAAGTACATGTGTAAAGTTATATGACTATAAATGTTTAGTGTCAACAAACGAATTGGAATTTCGATCATTTTTTTCAAAACTCGATCAAAGAAATGACACAGAAGTGTTTGTGTGAAGTATGTTTGTCTTTTCATTTAAATTATAGTTTTTTTTTATGGGGTAACACCAACACCATCTGTGATAGCTATAATGTATAGTCACATATTATGTTGTTTAAAATACATCCTTAAAAAAAATTAAAAGAATAAAAACTGGGAATTTTCTTTCCCAAGTTACTAAACTACGATGAATTGAAATATGCAATTTTTACGGCTCATTCATAGCTTAATCGAAAAATATAACAAAATATTTAGTTTTAAATTCGTATAAAGTACAGAAAATTTCTCAACGCGAGTTCAACTCGTACTTGACCAATTTTTATTTGAACCTATTTTCTTAAATGGGTGTTGTCTTAGAACAATGCTTTACATTGTTATAAAGAATAAAGTAAGGGTGTTTTTATTTGAAATAAATTTGGTCGTGATAAGATTGGCGTCTTTATGACTTCGTAAAGGAAAACTGGATATTTTATGAGGACATTTATGAGGACCTAAAGTTGTACTGAAACAGATATAATTTGGCCACCCCATACTATGGGGTTGTAATAAAATAAAAAATATATGACATACATGATGTAAAGTAGCATGAA